TTGTTACATCGCACCCTGACTGGCTCATCTCCTCTACGAGACCCCTCTGCAAGGGGGCGTGTGATTTTTGTAAACAAAAACAGTTCATATTTTGGTCACTCGGTGTTAGTTGGCGTTGTTAGTATGCATTGTTTAAACCTTTTGCGGCTGTGTTCCAAGCATTTTGCTAGAATTTTCTTAGGTTTTGTGGCTTTTTGTAGTTTTCAGATAAAACGGGCCCTAAGAAAGTTTTTTGAAAAGAATCATGATAAGGAACTGGTTAACATGTTAACGATATTGTTATGATAATTCAGTAAACCCTTTTAGAAAACAGTTATGGAAATGCCAGCAGCAGACCACATTAGATAGGTTTTCTTTTTAGAGAAAGCCAGCCAGGTCTCAGTGAAAAAAGGCAAAGAAGGAAAAAAAAACTCCTGAAAAGCAGCTACCAGTTGATTTTATGGAATGCGGTTCCCTTTCCAAACCATTGTACCTCCTCTCCACATGCGTGTACACAGATCCAGATCCTCCTGAACCCCAAGGTATGGGCCATACTGTAGGTGTTAAAACTTTTTAAATGCTGTTTCTTATTTATGTTACTTAACTCTGAACTTATTAGAAATTTCTGTGTAATGTTTGTATAAAAAGGCAAGGTTGGTAAAAGCTTGGTTGAGAAGGGATTAATCCATTTTCAGTTATTTCTTATGGGAAAAATTGATTCATAACTTGACTGCATCGCATCTCAATGCTTCTGGAATGGATGAGCGTCGAGGTCTGGGTCTGCTGTATTGGTGTCCATGTGTTGGGGTGAGGAGGTCTCCTACACGTGAACGGGTCCTCAGGAGCGACTTTGCGGTTGTGGAAAATGATCAAGACATAGCAGGGCATAGGGGCTCCTCATCCCATGTCAGGACTGAGAGAGTGGACAGATTTTCCAATGGGGATATATAATGGGTCTTAAAGATCTTTCAGAAGACATGTACGTCATACAGCTAACATCTAACATAATAAGTGATATAAGCAAGTAGCATAATTAGCAAGCAATGAGGTGAACTATGCCTTGACCTAGTGCTAGCTGACCTCAACCACCCCTGAGCCTTCCCCAGGGGTTTGCTACATTTTACCTGATTGCTCTTATCTACAGAAAACCTTCAGGCACAGAGAATAGCCAGATTCATCTTTTATGGTAGTTCCTTTATGACAGTTGCTTTATGGGGGAGTTATTGGGGGGACTGTATTCAGTCATGAGAATGTATATTGACTTATTTATATCATAACTGTGAGGGTCTTTCCCCACCAGAGTTGGCTTTCTAGACCCTTAATGGTGAGCATAGAGGATTGATTTAGCTGCATTACAATTTCATCTAGACTTCAGTTTACCACATCCATGGCCCCCTCTTTGCCCTGTATCACTACTGGGATCTACTCACACATGGCCCTCACCTGTCCAGGGCAGGCCGCCCCTGCCCTGCCTCTCCACCTCTGCTTGGTCCCACTAGCAGCCTGCTAGAGAGCCTTGGACAGGCTGCTTCTGCTCTTTGGGTCTCCAGCTCCTTGTATGTGAAATAAGGGAGCTGATTTGGATTAGAGTTTTTGATAAAGATTCTTCCATGAACTTAGAAGTTGGACATTTGTGCTATTAAAAAAATCTTTTTTTTTTAACAAAATGTACATTTTTCTTTCTTTTTAAATGTACATTTTTCACAGGATAATATGGCTAGGCAGACACACATACAAACAATAGGCCTCATGTTTGGGGCCGGAGTCCTATTGACTGGAGGTCTACATGTCCCAGCCGTCAGTCCTCTGGGTCTTTGATGAATGAAAAATGTGAACAGTAATTATTACTTAATACTTGCAGCTGTTTCAGGAGGCAGAAGGCTTCCAAACAGAACCAGTGTCATTGCAAGTCTAACACATCTGAAAGTGAAGCTATTGAGAGGACATGGCCTGGTTTTAAAATCCCTCAAATACAGGCCTCCTGGGGTCTGGCTCTTATTTCCAAGGCTGGCTTATCCTATTAACAAAATGGGCAGAGGGAGCGGCTTTCCACCCCCTTCCCCTGCCCCTGTGACAAACCCTTGCTGCTCCGGGCCTCACTCTGGCTCATTTCTCCCCGCTTGAGCAGTGGAGGGGTTTTCTGCGGCCGATTGCCTCTTACCACCAGTAATTACTTCTCCAACGTCACCCCCTTGTCAATTTTATTTAATATTCCCAGAGCATGGTGACTGACATGCTGGTCTCTCCAGCAAATCGGAATTTGGCTTGACCGAGATACCATCCCCTGCTGAAACGGGCTGAGAATGCAGAATGGAGGCCACGGGCAAAGCCAACACTGAGGCAGAGCTGCCAGACCGGACCCAGAGCAGCTCGGGGCTGCTCACCTGGACAATGGGCTGCCCCTCCAAGCTGTGTGCTCCTGCAGCGCTGCAGAAGCCCCATTGCGGTGGCGGCCCCTGCAGACCACGGTGCTTCCTCCCCTCAGGGCTTCTTGTGTCCAGCCCTGGCAGGTGTCTCCTTGTCTCCTCCTCTCTGGGGTGCCCTTTATTTCCCCATCCCTGAGCTCTGGCCCTCAGCTGCTCCCCCTGCTGAAGTGTGGGATGAGCGCTAGAAATCCTGCCAGCTGCTTACTGTTGGGAGACTGTGGGAGACCCTCAAATCTGCTGGTGCCCGGCCTCACGCAGAATCTGTTGTGCCACTTCCCTGTCCCGTGTTCTCCATCTGGCCCTCCTTGGAGACTCGCTGGGCTTCTCTGAAAATGGGGTTCCTGGGGCGGCTGTGCTGTTTGTTGAACTGCTTCGTGGACACAGGAGGCTTCCCAGTGGCGCTCAGATGGCCTCTGAAAGAACTCAACAGGCCCCTCCTTGGTGCTCTGCCTTGCTTTACGCCTCCTGACATGGCTCCATTTTGCCTCTGTCCATCTCCAACAATGTTGACTGGGCTCAGTTCTGGGCTCTTTGTTTCCCAGGAGATGCTGCTGTCAGGGATACCTTGAGGAGAGCAAGTGATGGTCACTGAGGAACAGTGGGAAGGCAGTGCCCGGCCTTCAGCTGAGGGTAGCTTAGAGCGACCAGGAGCACGCTCTCAAAGAGGTCTCTGTGTGCATCCCCAGTGTGGAGTTAAGACCCGTGGGAGAAGTTTCTGGGAGGCTGATGTCAGCCTCTCCTCCAGCCAGGACTTGCCGAGTGCCTGCCCTGTGCCAGGCACCCCCTCCTGCCCCTGCGTAGCTTCTGTCCCAGTAAGGGGAGCCAGACAATCGATA